TAAAAAAATGATTAATAAGCCACGCCATTCAATACCTTTTTGAGGGTTCTTCCTTTAAACGATCCACCAGTTTACATTACAACAACACGATACCACAGCTAATAAGTAATTTGTCAAATAATGACAAAAAAACCTGTGGGCATCTCTAATCATTGTTGTATTTAAAAAAACACAAATTTAGATTTTAATTTCACACTCATTCACTCACACACGCACGCACGCAAGCAACCACAATAAAATGTCATTATGACAAACGCCCACTCGCCGAAAAGCTAAGAAGCAAGCAAACATGCAAAGTTACGAAGACGGCACTTTATTACCTTTACCAACCTACCTGATTTCATTACTACTAGATTTTTTAATACGTTTTATTGAACTTTAATGCCAGCGTCGGCCGTACCATCGCGTCTTGAATCATGAGCCAATGTGATGAGTTGTTATTGTGGCCCGAAGAGTTAACCAAAATTCTGCCAAACTAAGCGCCAAAGAAGAAAAATTAGTTCCCTCGAGTAAGCGATATTAATATGTCAATTTCAAACAAACACCCACCTCTTTGTTGTATGGCGAAGTCGTGTAAAGTTTGAAATTGATGTTGCGTGATTTGAATATCATATCTACAAATAATGAAATGATATTAACAAAAAACGAGTGGATTAAATGGTGTTGAAGGAAATTAGTTGTAAAATACCAACAACTATTTATAACAATTTTAAATATCCAAGAATAGTCAAAAAATAGTAAATGTCAAAAATAGGTTTAAAGTCGTCACCCCCATTGTCAAGGGTATTCGGAGAACCATCAACTTTCTCATGTTGGGCCAAAAACTTTTTAACACCTGAAAATATAGGTCCTAGACCTAAGATCTTCAGATGAGTATTTTTTGCCCACGCTACAGGTCGCAACAATGGCCCGATTCTTACGAAATGTTGCATGCAGATGGGGTTATGATCAGAATAGAAGCCCATTGCTGGGGGGAGATGATCGCAAAACATTTAGGGTTTGAAAATAACCAAAAACTGAAAAATTTTCAGTTTTAACAGTCTTTTCGGGGCGTTGCTGAGGTACTCAGTTACATATTTCACAATGTGAAGCTATCACTGCTTTTCCTCCATAGTCCTTTGGAAATCAAGAGTTTATTATTTACTATCAAATACCCGCTTCTTCGTTAGCGAAAATGGGAAATGTTTATAAATGTATCCCAAATTTATAATTCCCTCTACTATTCCAACGCTTTATACGAAATTCTGTACCATTTCGTACTTGTTACACTCTATTAAGTAGGCATTTCAAAAGCACCATGTTGTCTAAATCTCTCAGTGGACCCTTATACTAAAATGTATAATTCCACCGCTATTCCTATACTATATACCAAATTTAAATTAAATTATACAGTTCGTATTTCCAAAAGTAAAAAACTGTAATTTCGGCCGGGCCGAGCCATTTGCAACAAATATCGAAATTTTCAAAAAAATAAAATCTTTTAAAAATTATGTGAAATCTTAAAAATGCCGAATATAGCCGTTATATTGGGGTCTATAGGAAGACGTGGGCGTAGGCAACTTTTGTCACAAGCCAACAAAAAATTCAAATATGAAACTTGAAAAAAAAATCCTGGAATAACGTAGCTAAAATCATCAAAATACGGAACATAGGGAGGTACCGTTATATCGGGGCTATACGAAAACCTGCATAGACAATTTTCTGCCACGACATCTCAAACTATCAACATAAAATCGCCAAAATACACTAAAATCATCAAAATACCGAATATTGGGAGGTACCGTTATATGGAGGCTATACGATGACGTGGGAGCGCATACACAATTTTTTGTCGAATTCTAAATACGAAATTTAAAACTACTCCGAGGAATACTGTCCCTAAAATCGTCAAAATATCGAATATCGGGGGGTACCGTTTTATGTGTACCTATAGTGACATTTCTCTTCCAGGGGGTAAAGTGCTTAGAAAGAACTTTTAACATAGGTTTTTAGACAATTCCATTGAAAAATATCGAATATAGGGAAGAAACGTTATATGGGCGATACACGATATCGTGGACCTATATAGACAATACATTTCCAGGGGGTAAAATACTCAGAAGGAACTCCTTTTGTGGATTTTCAGACTATGTAATTGAAAAATTTGGCTACAGTCATCAACACCGAATATTGGAGAGGGATCTTTACATGGGGTGTATACGATATCGAGGACCGATATAGCCCGAACTTGACCTGCCTGCAGACAAAATACTGATCTGTGCAAAATTTTTGCTTCCTATCTTTATTCGTGACAGACGGAAACTTTGTTATGTCTAAAATTATTATCACCCCTATGCAGGGTGAAGAGAAGTCATCCTTATATCTAATTACTTTTTCCAACCTTTTATATTTAAATAAAACAAGCTTGAGGTCTCGAGCTCGAGCTTGAGGTCTTTGTTTTTGTGTTTATTTTATTTTCCAATATTTCGAATTTCGATGAATTTTATTTTCAGGGAATTGTTGTGTGAATAAATACTTAAAAATATAATAATTAACTTAAAGCTGACGTAGCGTTTCTACTCCGTCAATTTACATTATTCAACCCAAATATATATCAAAAATCCTCCATACTAACCGTACAAAAAATACTAATATTTTCTACTTTTCGTACCCTTATAGTACATATTGCAAAAAATCCAAACTTAGTTAACAACTCACATCCCAAAATTTCAGCCTTTTGGCCTAGTCGTTAATGAATCAGTCGGTCAGTCAATCCCTCAAATCTTTTATTGATATAAATTTATACGTACATTACATTCCTGATATGTAATTTTTATAAAGAACTGTGAATGTATTTCTATTAAATTCTCCCCAATTTGCATAATTTTTTTCGTTAATTTTCCAAAACTTTTTCTCAACTATCGATGCCTCTCACTCACTTTCCCAAAAAAAAACGCAAGTGAAACATACGAAAGTGAATTTAACTTCTTTGTTGATGAATGATGACTCACAACAAACAAACAGCTATAACAAAAACAACAATAGCACCACCAACAACAACAACAAGACATCCATCATAATGACCTTTAACATTACTCACCAGCACTAGCGCTAGCGAACCAAAGAGGAAAAACGAATAAAGTCAACGAAACATAACATTTTTATATTGCCTAAGGAAACAGTGTAAATTGTCGCCAAATACAAACAAGAGCAGACAAATGCACACACACACATTCACAGATAAAATAACCATTTCGCTCTCTTTTTGCAGTTGACAATTTGTCTGCAAAACAAAATCGTTAACATGGCAAGGAAAGTAAGATAAATCGGTTGACGGAGATAAGTTATAAGAGAATGGTAACAGAGTTTTAGCGGGAGAAAGAGAATTCTAGTTAGTTTAAAAGAGAGTTATTTATTTTGTTGGCCACTGGACACAAGAGCACAAAGCAGCTGTTATTGCCAGACACATGGTGCAAAGTAGGAAGTAGGAAATACGACACCGCACAAAGAATAAAAGGATTTTGGTTATTCTTTTTTGTTTGGTGGCAAATGAGCCATATGTTTTCTGGTGAAGAGAGTTAAGATCAAAAATTCTTAAAGGATAGTTCTTTTAGTTTTAATTATTCTTCCCATTTTAATTATTCTTTCTTCCATTTCTTGTCATTGGTGCTTTTTTTTCTTTCTTTGAGAAAATGTTAATTCCAATTGTAAATCCAATTGGATTATGCCGTTGTTTGATTTTAATATTCCTTTGCAGCTTACTTTGATTGTGTTGGTGCCAGGATGAGGAAGTAGGGGTTATGAGCTCTCTCACAATTTGTGGCTGTGATATTTTCTTCTCTCATCCTCTTTATGTATTGTAACAGTACTGTTAATTTGTTATATTTTTCTTGTTAACAAGCATGGGCAAAATATATGTTAAATTCCAATTGGTCTCTCTCTCTCTCTTCCTCTCATTCTCTTTGTGAGAGTGCAATGTTATGTTAATGAAATATTTGTGGTTGTTAAGAGCCAAAAGAACAAACAATATGGACACACAAACAAATAAAAATATTTAGCTCTGCAAAATCGTATTATTTTTTGTTTTTCTTATTGGGGGACTCTCTCTCTTGCTCTCTCCCCATGTTCTTCATGTATGAGTAGTAAGTTTAGTTGGTTGTTTTTTTCCCCATTATCTTTGCCATAAGTTTTGGACTCTTTTTTGTTTTTTGTCTGAATGTTTGGTGCCTGTCTCTGTGCTTATCTTAAGCTTGAGGCTCCATTGTGTCTTTTTTACTATGAGGTTTTGCTATTGTTGGTGTTTTTGTTGTTGCTGTTGCATGAAAGGTTTTAGGGGCTCTCGTGTGCCTGTGTGTGAGGGGGCCCCCTAAAGAAAGCAAAACTGGTTGTTATTTGTGCAATGGGGAGCCACCACACACAAACAAAACCTAGCAAGACTCGCATGTGTTTTTTATTTTTTCTTCGTGCGCTCGTTGAATGCTCGTCTGTCGGCTAACTACTATTTCTACTTCTTCTTCTTGCTCTTGATGTCTTGCAAGACTTTCATACGAGACTACTACTATTACGGTTAAGACGACGATGATGATGACGAGTGCGACTACGACTACCATGTTAACGAGGAGCCATGAGTCTTGGTGCTTGCTCTCCCCATTATTGGATAAATGAGTAACTTGGCTGGCTGGCTCTTTGACTGGCTGCCTGGCTATGCTGAGTAAATGTGTGAATTTCTTGTTGTTGTTGTTACTGCTGGCTTACTTTCATGTGCCCGTCCATACATTTGGGGGTATTTTGAATTGGTATCTCCGTGTGCGTGTGTGTTTGGGCGAGCATGTGTATTCTTTGGTCTTGCTGTTTTTGGTTCCCTCTACAGATGACGTTATCTTAACACAGGCAAGAAATGTTATTATTATTATTTTGCTCTCATTGTGTTGGGTGTTGTGCTCAGCTCTCTTGCTCTGTGTCTCTCTCTGTACATGTGTGTGATAGATTTGTTTGTCTGGTCGTCGTCCAATCGTTTTGTTTTCGCTGGTTTTCTATGGCAATTGAGAGTGCCAGAGCGAAACTATGAAATCAGTCTGTGAACAGGCGCTGAGCACTGCACAGCCTTTAATTTTTGCCGTAACTCGTTGTTCGTTCGTGACGTTCAAGTTGATTAAAAAGCGCTAAAAATTTCAATCTGTTTTGAAAACGTTTTAATTTGTTATTTGTTTGTTTGTGTTTTCTCGCATTAAACCGACAACAACAAGAATACTACAACAACTAACGTAAAAGAAAAAATAAAATATTTTTGAAAAAATATAATTGATTTGAAGCTGAAACAAAATCATCATCACCATTATCCTCAAAAGCCCATCATTGGATAAAACAAAATGTAAAGAAATTAAACAGAAAAATTAAAAAAAAATTAAATTTTTGTTTATAAAACCCAACTCTTTGAGACACCTCCTCCGTATTTCTAGAGCGAGCATGTGGTTAACAATATATCTGTTGTTGTTTAATTTGTATTGTTTTTTTTTTCGTCGATATTCTGTTTCGTTCATATCTCCATAGATATTCCGGGTTATTTTGTTCATTGTTTGATTATATACGGGTGTTTGTTGTTTTTTTTTTTCGTTTTGGCCAAGTTATTTCCAGCCTCAAATTGTGTGTGTGGAGCCAGCCTTCTTTTGTTGTTATTTATTTTACGAAAAAAATACAACTTTCTGTTTAATGTTGGTGTTGCGGCTGGTTGGTGTAAATTTGTGAACGGCCCGAAAAAAGCCTTAATGTTTAACTACTAGTGTTTACATATGAGTGTGCCCGTGTGTGTGTGTGCGTGCTGAATTGTTAATAAATTAATAATAAGAGCGAAAAAAGGCAAGCGTAACAGGCAACATATGTCGTCGGCGGCTATTGTCAGGGAAAAAAGTGAAACCAAGAAAAACAAGAAACAAAACAAAGAAAAAAATTGAAGTTATTTTTCATTGCATCGTTTAAAAAAAATATAAAAGAATAACTGAGAGGCATTCAAATAATACCGAATACAAATTAAATTAAAAAAATTGTACTATTCAAAAAATTAAAATAAAATGAAAAACAAAATGAATATATAAGGGAAACGACTTGAAATTGAAATCAAATCATTCCAATAATAAAAAATTAATAATTAAATAAAAATTAATAAATTGAAACATAACTATTGATAATTAAAAATAATAAAGACATTTATAATAATAGTATTAAAAAATATTAAAAAAAGTTATAATTATAAATACAACATAAATTAATAAGACACATAGTAATAATTAATAAAAAAAATGTAATTTTACATTAGTAAATAATAATAAAAATAATAAAATATTAAATAAAAGTTATAATTATAAATAAAACATAAATTAATAATAATGAATAAAAACTAACAATATTGGCATCAATAACAACAACAATAATAATAATAATAATAATAACAATAATAATAATACTAATAATAATAATAATAATAATAATAATAATAATAATAATAATAATAATAATAATAATAATAATAATAATAATAATAATAATAATAATTATTATATATAATATAATAATTATTATTATTATTATTATTATTATTATTATTATTATTATTATTATTATTATTATTATTATTATTATTATTATTATTATTATTATTATTATTATTATTATTATTATTATTATTATAAAAATAATAATAATAATAATACAAATAATAATAATAATAATAATAATAATAATAATAATAATAATAATAATAATAATATTTACAACAACAATAATAAAAATATTTAAGACATAATAAAATAAATTAATGAAAATAAAATTAAATTTAAATAAATAAAAATATTAATAGAAAAATAATAATGCCAATATCAATATAAAAAACACACAAAATTAAATTTCGAGATTTTTATGGAGATAAATTTTAATTAAAAAATTAAATAATGTTATAACGAACATGACTTAAAGTAAATTAATTATAAGAGTAAAAATAATGATAATAATTAAAGACAATAATAAAAAATATAAAAATTGTACATTATAATAATTATAAATAAATTAATAATTAGCCGCCCTGCGGTTGGAAAACGCCGGCCTGCGGTTGGAAAACGTCCCTTGGGTCCAAACATATTTTGATCAATTTTTATTATATAATGTCATAAAGTCCTGCAAAAATGTTACCTGAGGTTTTTGACCGGTTGCATTGACCCCATATTTGTGGTGGTGATAGGTATTCGAAAAAAATATACACAAAATTTTGGGTCCAAAATTCTAGGCTTTTGCCTGAATTCTAATCTCTTGCGAAATTCCGTGCTGATTGGTCTTTAATTTTGACGACTGCAAAATCAGGAAAATTTTCAGTTTTCAGGCCATTTTAACCCCTAAATATAATGCGAACATCTTTAAAACTAATAGGATTATATTTTGACTCTATACCAATGCCCATGAAAGATTTCGAGAGAATCGAACAATAAAAGTGAAATCGGATGAAGGTTTCTATAAAATGTAGAGGTACTCATATGCTGTCTCTGATACACCTGCATCAAATATCATTGTTTTGCAGTACATTTAACGGATGTATAGATATATTCGGGCTCACAATTTCTTCTAGGCTGCATTCGTATGTGCCCTAATGTAATCTTGACTGATATTAAACATTTGGTGCACAATAAACGTGAAATCGGATGAATATGTATATAATTTGCAAAGATATTTCTGAGCTATGGAGTAAACATAACAAAACGGATGAACAATAAAAATGGGAGCCATGGCTATATCTGAACAGATTTTCACCAAATTTAACATACTTGATTCTAGGCTCAATTTAGTCGCTTGTGCCAAATTCCATCCTATTTGAGCTAATATTACACATTTGGAGCAGTGTAAAATACAAATCGGACAAAGATATATCTATAGGAGCTATATATCGACCGATTATTTTCCTTTTCAATGGGGTTCGTCCTTGCGGCAAACAAATGATTTGCGCAAAATTTCATCCCGAATGGAAAATTAGTGCGTACGTTTTTTTTTACAAAAATACATGGACAGACAGACTGACATTCATAAATCAGCTCAGTGATTTTATGAGGATCCTCAAATGTAACTATGGGTCTATCTCGTTTCCATCTCAATGTTACAAATAAATGCACAACGATATAATACCCTAACCAGGGGTGGTGTAGGATATAAAATTTAAGAATTTTCGGGCCGAACTTTTAGCAAAAAAAATTTTAATTTTTATAAATATATTTTATAAATAAAAAACAATAATAATCATAATAATACATTTTTTTAATAAAAAAAATACCACAATAATGAAATTAATTCTTAAAAAAATGTAATAATAACAGTAATGTTGATAAAAACAACAGTAAAATAAAAATAATATCTGAAATAATTACTAAAAAAAAACAATTAATAAAAACATAAAAACCATTAACAATAAAATAATAAAAAATTAAAATAAATGAAAGGAATAGAAATGAATGGCAAAATTTTAAGAACTCAAACCAATGAACTAATTATAAATAATTCAAATTTTGAAATTATTTTTTTTTTCATTCCAAATAATTGCAAAAAGAAAATTTCATGAATAAATATAAGTTTTAAATTGAAAAAAAAAAAAAATAAAATTAAACAACTCACAATAAAATATTAACTAAATAAAAATGAGAGTTGTTATTGTGCCGAAATAAAATCAAGAATCTTCCCGACAAAGAAGACGAAATGTCAAATACAAAAAAATGAAAAAAATTTTAGGTCATGCATATAACCCCTAAACTTTTGTTCCTCGCTTTATTCATAATAATTTCGTCGTACAAGGATATGACGCATTTACAAAAACACCCCCCCATCTTAATCCCAGATACCAAAGGAGATCTCAATAACAAATTTGATTATTCCAATCCTATCCTTCACCTAATACCAAATATTGTACCATGTGGTACTTTTCGTACAAATATAGTACGCATTTCCATATCTTAGTTCCAGTTATCAACAAAGACCTCAATAACAAATTTAAGGATTCCAGCCCTATTCCTTCACCCAATACCAAATTTTGTACTTTTTGGTACTTTTCATACAAATACAAGACGCATTTCCAAACCACCGCCAAGTCTCAAACATAGTACCATCAGTTATCTAAATATCAACTTTCAGAATTTTAATTTTATCCCTTCAAAAAATACCAAATTTATTACCATTTAGTACCTTTGGTACAATTGTAGTACACATTTCCGAAACCACCTCAATATGTCCAGGCTACACCTGAAAAGCGTTCTTAATACCAAAGTTCGAATTTCAAGCACTAGCTGTTCACTCAATACCAAATTGTACCAAATACAGCACTATTTTGTACTTTACGTGCAATTGCAGTGTACATTTTCAAAACCATATCTTTATCACTAACATATCACAAAAAGGGACCGCAATACTAATTTTCAAAATTAAGACTTCATCCGTTCACCCTAAACCAAACTGTTCCAAATTTAGTACCATTTAGTACAGTTCGAAGACTTAGTACACGTTTCCCAAAGCACCTTCATGTATCGAACTTTATTTCCAACCTTAAATCTCACAATAACTTTCATGTTTATAGCTCTATCCTTTTATGAAATTCCAAGTGGTACCATTTTAGTAGTTTAGTACCATTTTTTGACTTTTCGTAACCTTAAAGTTCGAATTTCCAAAAATCCTTTGGTACATCTATCCTGCACTCTGTCAGTGACTCTCATTCCAAATTTCAGAATTCTAGCTCATTCCGTTTGTCCAATACAAAGTATTTGGTTTTTAGCACACTTTAGTATTTTTCGTACCTTTTTAGTACGAATTTTCGAAAATCCAGCCTACGGATTTCCAAAAACTCAGCCTACGAACCAAGACTGATCCACATGCGAAACTTGAAGATTCTAGCTTCAGCCGTTTCGTCTGGTTATTGATTCTCAGTCAGTCAGTTATTTCACTACTCTTTTATATATACACCCACATATGGCAAGTGCATATGTATAGATTCGGATTTATGGGATATAGCTTCGCTGCGTTCTATGCCATAGATATAAAGTCGAAAGAAAACATTAGAAAAATTTAAATCTTTAAAGGCTCCCAAATGTAAGTTTCGATTTCTTATTTTTATTTCAAATAACAACTCTCTGTGAACCTCCGAAAACGAATTAATACAACTCTATATAAAAATAAAACAAAATATGCTATAAAAAGTGTTTCAGAAAAAAATTATATTACAATACTGGCAAAAATATATACCCTCTCAAAATCCTGTGTATATTTATATCATTGGTCTAAATAAAAATACAACAACAAATTGATACATCAAGCCTATGGACAAGGTAGGAAATTGTTTTTTTTTTCAAAATT